TAGACTAGGTATAAGGTGCACAGATTATAAATGTCTGATTTGGGAATCAACATAATGTTAACACTGATGAGGATGAAATCTTATTTCTGTGGTAATGCTTGTATGTATTATTCTCTAGAATATACAAACCGTTTCAAACTGCTATTGAAACATTTTAACAAATGACGACGTGGGTGTGAGATAATACCAGGTAACATGTGCTCTGACGGAGCTACTTAAACATTTGTATTCATTTATTTAATAACGCAGAATGTTCTTATCCACTGGTTTAGAACCTGACAAGAACAAAATCATTTCGCTTCAAAAGTTCGCTTAGTAAGTTTTCCACATTGGGCCTTGCCTATTCATAGACGCTCATTATTCCCAAAATGGCTTGTAACATTCTAAATTATACCACGAAATATCAAAAATACAAATTGCGCTAAAGCACTCGGAACTTTACTTCCTATAAGACATCACAAGTAAAATCATTTCTGCCTTAAAATTGTATACAAAAATAATATTCAAGTTTATTCCGATAAATGTTTGCCATTTCTCTGTAGAAATCTAAATGCAGACCTGCTCTCAAATAAAAGTTGAAAAATTGGCTCATTATTTTACAATAAATTCAATTCAGATTAGATTACAACTTTACGAGAATTTAAAAAAAACAAAAAAGAAGTACTTAACCTCTTCCACAGATTTACCCAAATCCCCATTTCGTCACTAATTTCCTCTGGTATTACAAGACTTTATTGCACATCTAACAAATTTTTAGTCCAGTAATTTACCTTACTGACTTAGGCCCTGAGGTTATAAGTTCCGTGATTCGTGTTCCGTTGGCACAAAAAAAACGTTTTAAGAGTGGCGGACCCCACTGTTCGTTCTAGCAAGAACAGCTTATGAGTTGGCGGTGTTCTTTAGCTTCTTTCCCTCTAGTCAAAATTAGGGATGGTTAGCGCAGATAACCCTCGTATAGCTTTGAGCGAAATCCAACAAACTGATTTTTATTTCCTTGTTAAAATACTCATGTTAAAGAGCTGACAAAGACATTGTGTGAAATTGCTATTTTATACTTAAATTATGTAGAGGACCCCAGCAGTAAGTAGTGGAATTAACTTAAAAATTTGTGGTATTTAAATGTATTTGACTCGTATGTCAATAAGGTCCATGTAAGTAACAAAGTCACAGAGTACAAGGAATACGATGAACAGATACTTAAAAAACAAAAAATAAAACTAGTCATTGGTAATTTTAAGGTTAACATTTATATTGCGATGACTAACGTTAAAGACATGTTGAATCGTCTGCTCTTGTCTTCTAGTTTTGTAAGCAACATGTCGGACTCTTCGGTGTAATGATCGCCCTTTCTCAAAGTTAAGAAATTACCTATCTTAGTAGAGGCTAAACGCAAGAACTTTAAATGAAATTTTGTATGGAACCCGTAACACGAGGAGCAGGGTTCTCACTCAAAACCGAACGTAATCCCCCCCCCCCAATATAGTGAGAAACGGCAAAGTAAAATTTCTCTACTTTAGTGGGTAATGATGTGCGACTAATCTTTACAGATTAATGAGGCCAATAAGTAAAAGTAAAGATCACATACTAATGGTAAAAACTCAAAATTTAATTTATAAGATACGTGATTCAATCCAAATTGTACTAACAAAACAAAATTAAACCCTTCCCACCTCAAAATTAGTTTTATTAGTTTCCTCGGCCCAGTGATAAACGTGCCAGATTGTGGATTCAAGATAACGGTTCTAGTTACAGAAAAATAAAACTCACACTCCACACTTGGGGGTAGTGGGTGGTGTTGATTAGCTGCTTTCTCTCCAACCTGTCACTTTAAATTTAGGGTTGGTTAGCGCAGTCAGTCCTCGATGAGCTTTGCGCGCAATTCAATAAACAAAAAAATCCTTCAAATTTTAAAATATATAGTATTTCTTTGGAATCCTTTACATTCATACATATTTAAATATGTATATCTAATCCTTAAAACTAATTTAGAAAAAGTAGAAGTTGTACGAAGTAATTACGCTTATTATTCAAAGAATCCAATCGTTTTGTTTTTTTGTTGTTGGGAAATCCTGCCTCAATCTGTCATACTACGCTCAATTAATTTTTCAGGCAATTCAAAATAAGGCTGAAAATGACGTGTTTAGCTTCAGCTATCCGGCTGAGTCTATGAAGAATACAATTAGATTATCAGCAAAACAAACTGCTCTTCCATATATTAATCAATTCACATTAAGAAGTTTCCAAGGGTATAATATAAAAACACATAAGGGAAGTGTTAAAAATAGTCATTTATTTACTCACCTTTACTCTAGTGAGTTCTTTAAACAACCAGAATCCCTTCACGAACCTTTGGGGTTAAATGGTTGGTACCTGAAAAAAAAAAAAAGAGTTTACTTCATGCAATAGAAAAAGAAAGAAATTAAGTTATATCCAGTAGCTGTAAAGGTCGTATTTCTTACTCATTCGTAAATTTTACGTGAAACTTCACTATAGTTAAAGTATAACAGTCAAAACTCCAAACAAACTGTGACCAGCTGTGAAGAAAGTACGGACTGACAATATTGAAAACTTTGCGCCCCTCAAGTGGCATTAATCTCCATTCCCATGAATGGAGATTAATTTGGAACACGTTCGTTGATGCGTGAGTTATAAAGTTGAAAGCGTCCTACAAACTGTTCGCCATCTTTATAATGCGTGTTATTTTCTTGTAAACCTAATGACCTGCCGTGGAGAAATCATTATTACACAGATGGACCCAAGAAATTCGCAGCGATTGAATTCAGTCATGTGTGCAACAATTCAACGTTCCATAAGAAACATCAAGTGGCAGTGGAACAACTTTAAATCACGTTACTGTCATTTGTCACGTTGTAATTACTTTTCTCGTTTACTTATTCATTTGTTTGTATTTTTACATAAGTGTTAAATGCCAGTCTTTTTCGAGAGGAATTAAGATTTATTTTGAAGAGTGAGTATGTAGTGTAATTTAAGGAACGACTTAATAGTTAAATAAGGTGTCTGAATAATTTTTGAAAAGTTCTTTATGTAGAACTTTTAACTCACAAAAAAAAAAAGAAACCTCGAATACGACCTTTTTGTTTTGTTTTTATTTCTGCTGGCACCTAAAGTTAAACCTCTTGTTCTGCAAGTCTCGACCTGTTCGTCAAGCATTTCTAACCATAATGTTGGTTTGTGGAATAATCTTTAATGTTAAGTTTTGCTTCGATTATTTGAGTTTGTATAATATGATATTAACCGTACATGCGCTCAGATCAATACCAAATGCTACCGGTTGTGTTTAGTACAACACCTCTTACACAAAGGAACGTTCTTACTTAAGCACAAATGCGTTCAACAATACCGCAAATACTTTGAGTTTTCCTGGTAAGCTTACCTTATTTTACGCAAAGGCGTCCATGAATATTGTTATTGAATGAGCACAATATGATAAAAAAAAAGCACAATTAGAAGCGAAAAATACCGTACCAAGAAAACTACAATAAAACAAATTAATCTTAGTTCAGAGCAGTGTTGTTTTGTAGTTGTATCTATATTTGAACGGGGTGAACCATCCAGCTACACCGAAATGTAAAAGCGCTTAGTAACACCCATGAATTACGAATTTCAGAAATAACATATCATCTTTGTATTAATTAACGGCACCAACTTAGATGTCACGTGCGAATAAAACCTTTCAGAAGTGTTTATAAAGGTAAAAATGATCATGACAAGCATTAGCGGCTAGCCTTGAATCTAAACAAACAAGCGGGTTTTGCTGCCTCAGAGGTCACCGATGAAAGTGGGATCAGGAAAACTATTTTCCAGTATGTGGCCTTCAAATGAGATTGTCAAAATTGCATTAAAAACATTTTCCTTTGACGCAAAACCTAGTTTTCTACGTTGATTCACACCTATCAAGTGTTTATAAATATAAGGATGATGTTATGTTGAAAAGTAAGATACATTAACTAAATCCTGTATCCCGAGATTTTTTAAGTTATAAATGTTTTCATATAAAGAATGTTTGTTAAAAACCTGGAGTTTTTTAATATTCCAATATATATGAAGTGTTATGGGATTAACCAATTAAAAGAAATTTCGGCTTCTACCACCATATGTAATCTTTCCCAGGACATTATTGAAGACGACAGCAGATCAGGAGAAGAGTAGATTATAAAATAATTAGGGATTAGAACCTAGAAAAGTAACTAATTACTAATTTGACTTAGGAGTTTTCGTATAAGCTACTAACCATGACAAAGAAGTGCGTATTAGTTATTCAAATACATCTGGTCGAACAGTTTGGTTTCAATTATTCAGTTTTATTTATATATTTAAACACTGAGTTCTCAAATTTAAAAAAATGAACGATATTGATTTACTTTTAGTATTTACTAATTTTAACTAAGTCTTTCACTATTTCTTCAGTAATTATTTACAATGTAACCTAATTTCCTATGCCGCCTCCGTTACATTGGACTTAAAACCTATGTTATTTCACAATAATTGCATAATGAGATGTAGAATATTGTTACGACAGCGATAGTCACGTGTTACCGGTAACACGTCATGGGTTTCTGGAAGGATCATGACTGTTCCCAACAACTCTAGTCTTTTCTACGCGTCCTCTATTTTAGTATACAAGCCGGCAAATAAAGTGACGGCATAGATAATTGCAGATACAGATAATTGAGTCAAGTGAGCGGTAGTGACTGTAAGTAAAGTGCGTGAATCGTTGTGAATTATAGCGTGTGTTGAAGTTAAAGAGACTGTGGAAATTCTGTGTACAGCAAAGCTGTATTAAGAACGAATAAACTAGTTTTATTTTAAAAAAAAAGGATTTATATTGCTGAAGTTCCTCGGGAAGAATTTATACCGGAAATTAACAGACGAGCAGAGACGTAACAATATCACACTACACACGTGCAACCTACAAGTTTCCTTGTTTTGCCATTAATAAAATGAATATATTTGATTTTGATATTATGTTTTTGGAAACTAACCAAAAATACTTATAGAAACATGATTTCCATGCTATTATATATAGAGTCTTATTAGCAGTAACCTTGCGAACCTTATAAGGGTACTTCATGCTTTCCTTACGAAAAGCATTCGCCATGTTGTTTGTTGACCCCCAGTTACAAGGACGAAATCACATTCTGTCTAAAGTTCTAAATATTAAAGCTGATGGGAAAACTTGTTCAAACTATTATGGTCTCTTACTGCCTGATGATTTTTCTTTCTTTTGGAAAACTTACGTTACAAACATATGCGAGTACTTCACCTAGGTAGCAAATAATAATAATGAGAGTACGTTGAGATCTAAGAATCTTATTAGTATTTTTTACATTAAACTAGAATTAAAATTAATTTTACACAGCGCGTAGAGAAGCTGATGATAAACTCTGCCCTTTCGTAAGAATCCGAACACCCCTTGACTATGGACGACCCGCCATACTTTTGAAAGGAACACAGTAAGATACATCAAGCAGCAACGCCGGAAAAGCTACAAAACTGTAGAGGTGTGGGTAAGACCAGCCAAAACCAAAAATTTTGATTTTTTTTCAAAGCGAGTTAAATATGATAACTGTTGCTCCAGTAAACATGTGAACTAATTTTCAGATGTCCATCGCATGTACACAATGTCCGAGTCACCAAAAAAAATGCGACAACATGACACAAACTTTTGAAAAATTGTATGATGTATCGCCACAAATGTTCTCCGAAATGAAATTATAACTTAAATACTAAGATTTAAAATGTTCTTTTGAAATATTTTTATTAACATTTTTTGGAAGAAATAATTTAAAAAAAATCGAAGATTTAGCTTAACTGTCGATTTTTTGGCCGCTTATAATCATAATTCAGATTGTGAAAATAAATTTCTCGTCCACGCAGTGACAACTTGTAAATAGTTGATACAAAGATGGAAATACGAAAAGTTACAATAATTTATAATCCCCCCATTGTTAAATCAATAAATGTTTCATTAAAAAAATCATCTCCATTCCCTGTTTCATTTGTTAGTTTTTCACGCTTCCAGCACTTTTATTTTTTCTCTCTCTCAAATTTTATGTTACAGTTTTGTTGTATTCTGTATACACTACGACAGTACTAATCTAAGCGATGTGTATAGGCGCCAGAGACAGGAGAGCCAACGAGCAATTGCCCATCAATTTTTTAAAAAGGTGGATCCTGCTCCCACTTGTAAATTTGGTAATGTGCAATCTACTGTTATTTAGAACCATTCAGAAACATTTGGAACTTGATGGCACAACATATGACAAAATATTCAGGTCAGTAGAAAGTCTTCGCAATTGACGACAAACTTCTTACAGAACTGTTTAAAAAAAAAGTGTTAAAAATACCAATTTGCATTTAATACGGTCATCTGAACTGGCACTATTTATTATGTCTTTGCTTTATACTCTCCATGAATATAGGTTGAGTTAAGCAAAGCATTTATTGTAAATCTTCCCTAAAATATTGAAATTGTGTCCAAATATGGGTCCAAGGTCAAGCAGATTAAAAGTTCATCTATGATTATGTTGCGTGAATTGTGAAGAATGGTGCGTTTGTGTGTATTATGGGAGATGTTATAATATGGAATGGTTATGTACACAGGACATAGAACCTAACTATGAAGTGATCCATGTTTAACTACTTATCGGAATCAAAAGATCTTAAATAAAAAACAAAAAATTATATGCCAGCATCCACGATAGAGTCTTGAAGGGACACTCTCATAACTCAAAACCCTAATCTTATTCTTACAGGAGATATTTAGAAACATGTGGCCAGCTCAATTCAAAAGCATAGACCACAATCTTCCAGTCATCATCAAGAGATCAAGCTCAGGCAAACATATAAAAGTATAATCTAGTTTAGATCATGTCTTGCAAAAGTTGTCCAGACATAGAGATGCTACACCATTTCTAGGAATTGTATACCAGTCCTAGACTGTTTTGCAGTGTAAAATATTCGTTGCCTAGCTCTAACATAACACGATCGTTTGTAGAAATATATTTATTTATTTATTAAAGTACATTAAAATTATAACTACCGGTAGCATCGAGATTAAACTACATTAAAATTATAACTACCAGTACCATCGAGATTCAGCAGATAATGTAGGGAAAACTGTCGAGTATTTACAGATAAGTGAACATAGCTATAAAAGTATAACACTAATAAAAGAGCAGTTAAACTTAAAGCCAACATAATCTCAACAAGTGAGCTGATCAAACTTCGCAGGCTTAAATTTAAAATTACGTTTTTTGCTTCTGTCACACATACACTGATACGGTGCCATAATGTGCTCATAAATCTAGATAAATCACACTGATAGATTGTTATCATTGTGTTATTTACATTGAAACAAACATATGAAAATTAATAAATTTGACTGGAGTGTCTTATCTAAGTAATTGCCATCTTCAGATTATAGTTATACACTAAAAGTTAGTAAAAGTAAAACCGCAATAATTTACTTACAGTTACACTTTCGCTGTCAAACGGCTATGCTGTACTTTGTTTGAGTTTTAATAACCACTAACAATACCAAAAGCAAAGTAGTAGTTTCAGCGTATACAGAGCCAAAACTTGACTCAGAGTTGACTAAAACTCAAATGATTTGATAAAGACAATACGCTGCAACTTTTATTCAAAGTAACTCAGCCATACGAAACAAGGATGAACATGTGTCATGTAGATGACGTAGGTCCGTATTAGTTCCAATGGGGAAAAGTAACGTTCATAACGTCCTATCACGTGACTACTTGGAACCTGGTGGTATTTTTCTGACTACTGATTTTTAGATAATTCGCTGTCACTTTCCGGGGAAGTGTGAACAATTTAATTGTGAAATATATCTTCAAGATTTCTTTCATTAGAAATCACATGATATAATTTCTTTATATCATACTACGAAGCCACTGGACGTTAACAATTTCTAAAGGTTTACTGATAGCTTTTCATATTAGAAACTGATTAAATGAAATATATATCGAATATTATTTTCCTGACACGGCCTGGTGGCTAAAATGCTCGGCTCACAATCTGTTGGTCACAGGATCAACACTTAGTGCCGAACATGTTCACCCCTCTTTCAGTAGTAAAGGTATTTTAATGTAATGGTTAATTCCACTATTCGCTGGTAAAGAGTAGCCCAAGAGTTAATGATGGGTGCTGCTAGTTGGTTTCCTTCTCTATGATCAGTAATTCAAAAATTAGGGCTTTGCCATAACACGAAGAAACAAAAACTTACAGTAACGTCATATTAAGACTATTAATGAACTACATGATATTAGCACGGTTATCTTCTCTTTGAACTCGGACACTGAGAAAGACATTAAAAACAATTTAAAGAAATAACTTCATTTACTTTTCGTTCTAAGCGTCCAGAATCACATACTTTTTTATTTCTGTTTTATTTCAACTGAATTTAATTGAATCATAATTATTAAAACTAATGATCCATAGTTTTTGAGCTTGTGGAATGTTGGTTGTAAATCATTATGCACTTCCCAGGGATTTTAAACTAGATCTATGTGACAACATAACATGTGAAGGTTGTAATGTTTCAATTAAAGTCCAATTTAATCAGGAAAAAAAAATGTAACAGTATTTTATGACACGTTTTTGAAAGAATAAAGCCATTATTTTACCTAAGATAAATAAAATATACATGTTTAAATTATTTTTATATCTGTTTTATTTGTTTGAAGTTAAGCACAACAATGGACTATCTGTGCTCTGCCCACCACGGGTATCGAAACCCGGTTTCTAGGATTGTAAGTCCGAAGACATACCACTGTGCCACTGGAGAGCTTTTTATTTTTTAAGCGTTCGTCTTTCGTGAACTGCTTTGCTGCTAGGCTTATGCATGTTGCAGTAATAAATATATAATTAAAACGAAACAGTTAAATGAACAGTGATCTTACCCCCTGAGGATCCCCAATCCAACCGTCTTATCCTATAGATTTACATCAGCCACAGCACGTACATAAATTCCTACTGCTTTCACTTTCTGCTAACTGAACTCACTATGTGGGATTATAGTAGTGTGAAATCCACTACCCATACCTGACCCACTTAGAATGTGTCTCGCGCATCTCTACCTGTCAGTTATACGCTGTGAAGTGGAAGTACGACTGGTAGAACTGAAACTAGGCCTCCTTCGGTAGCCTAGTGGCCTTGGTTTACTGTGACCACATCTCGCGTGGCAATAACTGCACCACTTTCTCTTTAGCTCTGGTGTGTTGCCCCCAAATCGGTTGTTATAAACAATGTGTATCATCTTGGGGGCTTAGGAATCATAAATAGTCGAAAAAACTACATAAACCCTCCTATTCGCAAAAATTTGTTTAATAAAATTCAATCACGTAATATTATTACATGTAAACTAAACTAATTTCTTTATAACGCCGCAGGAAATATCGAAGACAAACTAAGAACCTATTGTAGCACTACAAGAACTATCGAAGACAAACTAATAATCTGTTATAACACAACAAGAACTATCGAAGACAAACTAATAATAAACAACTATTGAAGACAAACTAATAATCTGTTATAACACCATAAGAACTATCGAAGACAAACTAATAATAAACAACTATTGAAGACAAACTAATAATCTGTTATAACACAACAACAACTATCGAAGACAAACTAATAATCTGTTATAACACCATAAGAACTATCGAAGACAAACTAATAATCTGTCATAACACCACAAGAACCATCGATGACAGTCTATGAACCTATTATAACACCATAAGAACTAATTAAAACAAACTAATAATCTATTATAACGCCAAAAGGACTATCGAAAATAAACTACGAATCTATTATAACACCATAATAACTATTGTTGAGAAACAAAGAAAGTCTATTATAACACCACAATAACTATTGTTGAGAAACAAAGAAAGTCTATTATAACACCAAAATAACTATTGTTGAGAAACAAAGAAAGTATATTATAACACCACAATAACTATTGTTGAGAAACAAAGAAAGTATATTATAACACCACAATAACTATTGTTGAGAAACAAAGAAAGTCTATTATAACATCATAAGGACTACTTAACACGAATTGAACATCTGTACAATGCCTCAAAAACTAATGAAGATCAATTAAGCGAATTCTTTATCACATCACAGGAACAACTGAGGCCAAGCTAAGATTATGTTAAACTCAATGCGTAGTTTCTGGCTGATCTCTCTGGATCCGAGATCCAAAACCTTTCTTGTACGTATTTATTCTTCCAGTTTCAAAGGTTTGATTGAGAATAATATATAAACCCGACCATTGGTTAAAGAAGTGATAAATATACTTTCTCTAAAAGCATGTTTAGGTCTATAAGATAAGTGCGAATATCAGAGAACAAAGAAGACTCACCTGATGTTAGGATATTCTAGTTTTTTTATGTGAATGTGTATTCAAAGAGTGCTCCTTAGGGATATTCTTTTCAATTTTCCAATATTCAGATTTCAGCACTTAAATCTATTTCCAAGACCAAGACATTTTAAGTCACGGAATCCACTGATAACAAGATACACCGTTACATTCAAAATGTGCTGACTAAAACTTCGTCTTTCCAAACATCGTACGTGTTTAATATCCGTCGAGAAACACGTTGTCCAGGGAAAGACCCCACGAGTTAAACCAATCAAGTTTTGAGAAAGGGAATTTCCCAATTATTTTTTTATTTTTATTTTTGCTCTTTTCAAATATTTCAAATTCTGACAAATAAAAAAGTTTTTTTGCGAAGTTTTATAATAAAATTCAAAATATTTGATTAGATAAATAGTCAATGAGGAAAAACCTTTTTGTCACTAGAGGTAGTTTATCACCTTTAATATCTACGTTAAATTTATTCAGTATAGCCGGGACTGGAAAGACTAACTTCAAGTAGCTGGGGCTCCCCAGTGGCACAGCGGTATGTCTGCGCACCTACCACACTAGAATCCGGGTTTCAATACCCGTGGTGGGCAGAGCACATATGGCCCATTGTGTAGCTTTGTGCCTAATTACAAACAAACTAATCAAGTAGCTGGGCTTGTTCCAGCTATCCCGTGCTATACTTGAATAATGTGACAATATGAACTACTTAAGGTAAGTCTTGTAGTTCTTTTAAGATCATTTATTAATAAGTTATTTTCAGAAAAGGGTAGAGGTTGGGAGTAACATCTGGTAGAATTATTAGGGTGGTATTTATTCTTCTTTAAGGATTTTTTAGAACTTTTAAGGGTGGATGATGATGGGCATTGTTTAGTAGAAATATATATATATATATATATATATATCGGTGGTTGTATTTATTTTATTTCTACTTTTAAATTTATTACATCTTTTTTAAGGGTAACTGCCTTCCCACAACTGGCTACAGACAGTGAAAGGCAGTAAGAGTTGAGACATTGTGGGTGTAAGCACTCAACTCTGTACCCTTATTGAATATTCCACGACTGCTAACTGGTTTCTCATCTGCTTCTTGGATTTTGTCTGATAGATGGGATATATCCAACACTTTTGGGTGCTATTACCACAGGCAATCTCTGTTATGACTTTTGGATAACGACGGGAAAGTGCGAAGATTTTTTTGTTTTTTCAAATATTTAATTTATATTAAGTTCACTATTGTTTTATAGTGCTCATCTTAATCGCCTACTGACAATTAATGTAATTGATATAATAGTTTCGAAGCTATACCTCTTATATATATATATGTGTAATATATTATACTTAAAACTATCTAATTAAATCATAAACGGTTTCATAGGCCCTGAATACCTAAACTCTGAACATCACGAAAACTACTGGAAAAAATTATATAGTATACTAATATTACGTTTTTAAAAGAGAACTGAGAATTGAAGTTACTTGTGATATAAAAACGTATAAATTGATATTTTCTTGTGAAAGTTTTAGTGAAAAACCACAACAATAACAACGCAAAATGTGATAAATTGTCAGCATGCACATATTTTGTTGTTTATTTTGAAATCTAACCTCGTTTAATTTAATTCGCTCTGTAGAACAGGTTCCTTAAAAAACGAAACAGAAGATTGTACTGTAATTTCCAAGTAGGCCCTTTTAAAGAAACAAATCTGGTAACGTTGACGGTTATCTTATAAAAATTCATGTTTGGCACGATAGAAAGAAATAATTCCGTAAATCGTTATTAATGTGATTAACTCTAAGGCCGGAAACAAATAGGTACGATGCGATATCGCTTGGTTCTCCCCCCCCCCCCTCGCTCTGCACCTCTGTATGTACCTAAGATTTGTGATGGCTTTTTGAAAGTCTATTATAATAAATCCATATATAATTTACGATATTATTTCAAGAACAGCACGTCGTTTGGACTATTTGTTCAACATTCAGTGATGAGCAAAGAAAGATATTGTTAAAGAATGAACGCCTTGTACTTATACTTGACTTGGAGGTTACAAGAAAAGCATGGGGTCGTGATAATTTTAAAAAAGAGACGAAAACTATGGCATTTTCAATGCTTTACTGTGATTGTTGAGTGTGTGGGTAATAATACCTTTCGGCAGCAGCGAAAAAAGAAATGGTTTCGATCCTAGCGACACAGCACGGCGGGACTAGCAGGATTGTCACACCACTGGTCTGTTCAAAACCAAA